AAAAAAGATGTAACCAACAGTACAGTGCCGTAGCCGACAAATGTGAAGGCGTTTTTCTCTGATCAATATAAAAATTTCATCTAAGTGCGTTTTAAATATTGAATAAAACTGGGAAGCGTCTAAACATATCTTCAGTTTTTTAAAAAACAAGATACGTCCGAACACACTTTTCTTTCTTGAGATAAAAAGAAGCTCGTTTAGAAGCGCCCTTGAGGCGATCTTGATTCGAAAAACGCGTTCGGGCACAACGTTTTTGGAAAAATTAAACAAAAATGCGTTTGTTTCTATCAAAATTTTTTCCAGTGAGTAAAGAACTGAAAAGAAACTCATAGTAACACACCAGGATAAAAAAGGAAATTCGGAATAATAATGAAAAAAATACAAAATTCATGTCGTTACACCCGAGTGTCCCTTCCAAGGGGCATCATGTATCCACGCGACAACGCAACACCACTTAAGTCCAGATATAACATAGATGTACCAAAGAACTGCAAGTTTCAATGGAATAATAATTCAATGGCTATAATAAAAGCGTCTTCGGGTGTAAAGGGTTAACATCAGTAGTGTGTTGAATGTTATGAGCAACTCTTTGCACCGAAATGTAATAAATGTCATCAAATATTTAAAGGTGATTAGTATTTGGATTTAGTATACGTGTTTTCTATTCCTCATTTGTTGTTGAGCAAGTAAAGGAGTGATAGCAGAAGCAAGAATAGATTTAATTATACAAACAAATTCAAAACAAGAAAATATGACATTACTTATCCGTTGATTTTTCTAGAAATGCTCTCGCAGCCCGTATAGATTGAAAAACCACACATTATGGTAGACGATGACGCAGGATATAGCAAAATTCCGATGAGAAACCGACTTCGACAGAATATCGTAATAACAGCCTGTTTAAATTTGTTTGTTTACTCATCGACACTGTAGCACCAGCTGTCCCTCCTCGTTTTCACAGAAGATATTGAATGTTGTCTAAATATTGACCCGTCGGCACTTTAGGCACCTTTCCTAACGAATAGTGTTCACTGCTTGAGATACTTTCTTATCTGTACTACGAAGTTTCAGCAAGAGAACATTAGATTCAAATTATTTTGAATTATGATTATTTGAAAGTTGTCTAGCTATACCCATATTAAATAAAACGCTTTCTGCTTTATTGCATTGTTTTATCAAAGAACTACTAGGAGTATTATAAGCTTTCTCAACAAATATTTTTCTTGTTTTCTTTGCTTAGTTCGAGGCGCACACAGTTTAGGACATCAAGGCAAACAATACTGTATGCCATGTTATGAAGAATATTTTGCAGAAAAATGCATATTATGCCGAAAAATATGGAATCGTGTACTTCTCTTAAAACTATTTCTAAAAAACTTGTGTATGTACATTTTTTTCCTTCTTTGTTCTTGAACGATAATTGGACGCGATGGTATGACATATATAAAAAAAGATGAACATCAGTACTATGCTGAATGTTATGATCAACACTTTGCACTGAAACGTAATAAATGTCATCAAATATGTAAAGGTGGTTAGTATTTGGATTTAATATACGTGTTTTCTATTCCTCATTTGTTGTTGAGCAAGTGAAGGAATGATAGCAGAAGCAAGAGTAGATTTAATCAATTAACAACAAGGAAGTATTACATTACTTATCCGTTAATTTTTCTACGAACAGCGCAACGTTGTCTAGTTTCTGATACCTTGCTAAATATATACTTCTTTTTTTACATTCACAGGTGTTGCTGATACATGTTATATATCATTTAAAGGTCGTCATTGGCATAATGACGGCGTCATTTGCGAACGTTGTGATTCATCTTTAGTTGGTTGTGGCTTGGTGACTGAAGGATCAGATATGGTTTGTATAGAATGCGGCAAGCAAAACCATAGGTGTTAGACGTTTACCAGAATAGTCACACACATACAACAGTTATTCATTGCCCTTTAAACGTGAATGTTAAAACAACAAACAGTCTATTATCATCATATAACTATGATCAACACCAAAAGACTTGTGCATGGGCAGAAACAGAAATTGTATGATTGCTTCTTCAATGATTTGAATGCGACAGGCGGTGTGGGATCGTATATCTGACACATCTGGTAACTTCTATTCTCATTAAATTGTTGATTAAATACACACCGCTTATGTATTTTATTGCAGGTATTTTCAAATTGAGTAAGGCGATAAGAATCTTCTTTTTTCTCATCAGATCACTGATAGAGCCGGTGCTAAGATAAATAAACAAGGTATATCACTTTTGAACAGACTAAATGTCAAATAAATAAAAGAGAAGAATGATATTTTACGTCTTCTAAAAACAGGGAAAGATATAATTCTTGACGAATGTGAACGAAGTTGTCAATAAGAACATTTCGCGTACAATACTGTGCCTTGCTATGTAGAGAGAAGTTTTACATAAATCGTTAAAATGTTCATAATACTGCTCAGCCCTTTGTCACCTTTTCTTTTTAGATAGGCGTTTGTATAGAGGGTCGATAAGTTCATGAATAATTTAGAATGTTCGACAAAAATATCGGATGGCTCAAACGAAATGATTCTCTCATACTTCTCATATATTGTTTTCCTGTTTCATCGTCTAAAGTTCGATTTTCTTAAAGAGAGTCATCACTCTATTCTCTTCAAAAATACGCATAAAGTATTTTGCTACAAAACACAAAGGTGAAAAGCTACACGAAAAGTACTTCTACTAGTGTGAAAATATTAGGCAAATCTAGAACCCTGGAAAAACCAGTTTTCGTTTGCACTTTTATCTATAACTCATGTCTTATAGCTATGCGTAGAGAAAGAAAGAAAGAAAGAAATATTCTTACCAGTTATGGTGTAGGATGAACATCGAAAAAGGTTAGATAAATTAAGACTAAGATAGTCAAAAGAGTCTGATCTCAATTTGGTTCATGAATAGTGGAAAGTCACTATAAAAATTTTCTATCGGGTTTTGTTTACTGAGCTAAATAAACTCGGTTTGAGACGAAGTCACCATCACATGATGATAAACACTGTCGGCTGTTCGTGTCGTTTGTCTTATGTATTTATCTTATTAGCAACACACTATTGTTTTGCCACGACATGGCTTATGATTCTTTGCGGTGAATAGCAGTAACAGTGTTTAGTAATGCAGCAGTTGATGAAATTGTTAATGGAAGGGGATTGATCACTCGTTGAGCTGTCCATCGTTTTACGATTCGATCGTTATGTTGATGAACTGTTGCTCTAATATTTTGGTGAACTGGTTGTACTCTTGTATACTTATTAATTATTGATTATCTCCGTTTGAGATGTTGATAAAAACAGAACACTGCGAGAATAATATTGGCTCTGCTTGATCATTCGACGCATGTAAAATCAATGTAAACTTTCCAGATGCCATAGAAAGAAAAACAACAAAAGGAGACGGAAGACATATAACTTAGGTCTGTGGACTGTCGCCAATATTAACAAACTTCTATAGGAACTTCGCCTATATTGGCTAGTAGCGGTGTCACATTACTGTTCTTTACCAAGTGATGAGTAATAAAACGTATTAGATATTACCTGAAAACAAGTAATAAATCTTATTATTGTATTCCAGATAGTATTCTTTTATTACTTCACTTATTACTAATAAGAAGAAAAGCAATAAAAAGTAATAAGGAAAACGGTGAAAAATTTTTACATAAAGAAGTAATAAGTAATAAAACAACAAGATTTATTACCTTTTTGCTGGTAATAACTAACAAATGTTTATTACTTTTACCGGATAATGTAATAATTAATACAGTAAAGTAGCATCTCTGTTGGCTAGAGTCCTCTTGACTCGCACCCAATATAAAAAGCTATTAAATTAAAACCGGCACTAAAGAGTGTCAGTTTGTTACTAACAGAACACGGACTTGCTATTCTATTGCGAAAAACAAACTCGAATAGACTTTGTACTGCTCATTGGACGGAGTGAAGTAACAGTGAGAGTGAATGAAAGAGGAAAAGAATTACAAGGAATTTTCTGGTGTGCAAAGTTAGCTAGATCAACTGCAGCACGTGAATGAATTCAAAACAGCTGAAAATAACGACACAGTATATGTACTCGTAAGCAGATCATTTTATGACATCTCTCTAAAATCTTGTTTTATCTTGCATGTATGAGATTTTCATTTCCTTACTTCTACTTAATATTTTGACATTTAATTTTGAGAATAATCGAAGTTCTTTCCCAAAAATCTATATGTGATGTAAATCGTGGTATACGCCATGGCAAAAAACACTTCATTGTTTAATTCAGCTCATTGAAAAACTCACAAGATCATTTCAAACACGCTCTGGTAAGCCACAGACAGTAGAAGAGATTTACGAATAATTTCGATTAGCGAAGAGGAATAACTTTCCGTTGTTTGGGCCTTGCGATATCGATGCTTTCAAATGCCGAATAAGAACGGACCTCTCTGCGCTCAAGTTCCAATGTAAACAAAAATGCACTACATATTCAGTATTTCTGCAAGATATATGGATAACATAAATCTATTTCAAGCGTAGTGGAGGTCGCAGAAGTGTCCAGCTAACGAGTCGAGTCACAAAACTCTGTTTCTCATGCTCGCAACTGCCGATATTTCGGTGGCAAGCATACGTTGTTTGCTTCACCAATATAAAGGATTTAATTGAACTTTAATCTACAAAATCATCTGTCAATTCACGAATCACAATTAGAGATTTAACTAGTTCTGATGTGTACCGATATCATCATACAAAAACTCATTTCCCTAACAAACGACAACAAAATATTAACGGATATTCCAGAAATCGATCCCAAGTCCAAGAAGAGGCAACTCACACATCTAGAAAAAACAGTGTTGTTTCAATTGAATCAATTGAATTGGATGTGACGGGTAGCTCGGAGCCTTCGATAAGTAAATTCGCTTAGAGTATAGTTCGGTCCATTGAAAACAACTTCGGATCGAAAGAGTTAGATGTCTATCAGTCCACAAGCGATGATAGTAGTTCACTTCTTACTTAAATCTTTATATACTGCTGGCACATTAAGATCAGAATGGATCCATCCAAACAGTGCATAACCACCAAACTCTGGCGTTGTTACTTGCTTGACAGTTTCTTCTAAACTAAGTCCTTGGTCAATCGCATCTTGCACATTCTTCTTTACTGCAGCAAGGTAGTCAATGTGCCACTTGAGATCTTCGCGCTTCATCGCCACGCCATGTCCAGGAATAATGCGCGCATCTGCAGGAAGAAAAGCATGCACTTTCTTCAATGTTTCTAGAGTTTCAACCAGATGACCATCTAATAGCCATGGCAATGCAGGCTTGCCAGCCACTACTGGATTTCCACTCCACAATACTTTTGAATCTGGCTGCCATACAAAAAGATCGCCTCCAGTTTGAGCAAACCCAAAATCAATCACTTCAACCAGTTTGTCACCGAGGTCAAGCGTAATACTTCCACCTGCTGTTACCAACAAGTCTCCAGTGCGAGCTTTGATTTCTTCGATGCCGCGGCCCGCACCAAAATTTTTGAGCATGAATGCCTTGTCTTCACTCAAATGGTTGTCAGCATAGTTTTTAGTGTTGATGTGCTGGATGATCTTAGTATTTTCTGATAAATACATGTTGCCATAACAGTGATCTCCATGAGAACTCGTGTTTATGGCGTACAGGACTGGCTGTGGCGTGACCTCTCGCGTGAGTTGTAGCACTTGCTCATTCAATCGCTTATTGAGCATCGTCTCAATGAGCAAAGCTCCCTTATTACCAACAATCAAACCACCACTTGTGGCTGCAGCACCGCCTTTGGCATTCAGTTCTTTGGCGTCTTTGGCATAATGTGCATACACATCAGTCGCAAGCTTTTCGCTGATCATTTCCACCTTGTTGCCATCCCAAATAGGCTCGGCAGCCTTCCCAGGCTCGCTAGTACCTAAAATTTTTCCAGACTTGTAAAAAGCTGAGAATAATGATATTTTTCATTTCACAATAGTTAACGGATTGGTGCTCTAGGGTGAGACACTTTAGAACCCGGGTTTTAAACTTACATTTCCGTTACATTTACAAATCGAAAACAGTCATTTGAAAGTTCGTTATATAGACAGTTATGCTGCTGAATCTTCATTTTCGAAAAGTGGCGTGGTCATATTTAAAGGCCATGGCCTTTATGGCTTTCAAATACGACCGCGCCACTTGGATTTTACAGAATTTGGAGGTGGCCTTCTATTCTGGGGGAAGAGCAGACAACCACTTTCCTCTTATTTCTGGCCGATTTTCTGTGCAAGAGAACACCTCTGATGTTTCAACTTTAGAACGGCAATGTTAGGAGTAAAATAATCATATACATAATGAACAGTGTCAAAAAAATACAATGTTGACATTTATCTGCACTACACATGTAGTCTGTGTGTGTGTGAGAGAGATAAAGTGATTATGAAACTTGTCTCCAAATTTCGTGGAAATCCGTGCAGGAAAATACTTATTCTCACGTGAGAATGTCGTTTAATCTCAAGTGTGTGTGTCATACCAACCGTTCGCGTTTGTATTCGAAGCAGGAGTTGACGCTTTTGCTGAGTTACATCCCATGTTTCGACCACAGTTCTTATTATATAAAGGATATCGTTGCGTTTATGAGTATACGTGCAGTAATGAAATAGAAGAGATGTGTAAGCAGAAATAATTCTATAGTTGTCGTTTGCTGCTTGGTTACAAAACGGAAATTACGTCAAATGGTGAGTCTACCTTACACAGGCAAATAAAAAAGAAAATATAGTTGAACTGTAGAGATCAAATGTGCTGTTTTTAGTTACTGTCCTTTGATCTTACCGCTTTCGATTTTTGTTATATATGCACGGCAATAAACAGACTATGCAATAAACTAGAAAAAGACAAATTTTATATTTTCATCAAAATGTTCATTGTACTCACTATAAAATTACTTTATATTCTGCCAACTTGAGAGATTAAATTGACATATCGAAGGTGCTGCTTTTTTTTTCTGTTTTATTCTATCTACATTTCACCTCGTGTTTCTTTTCTCTTATATAAACACAACAGAACAGAAATTTTCTCTTGCAATAAGAAACATAAGAAAAGAATAAATTTTATATTGAAACGTTTTCTTTTTGAAGAGCACTGCGAGGTGTGACAGCATTTCCTCCTGCAGTGTCCTTTTAAGTTTGAACGTACATTCATTAGCATCCTATAACACTAGCATGACCCGGAGAGAAAGCCGGAAAGCCATGCTAGTCGAGGACGGCTTAAGAGGGCATCCGTACAGCCCCGTATTTCAAAAAATGTAAAAATGTACTCTTTTTCTCTCTACATAGAGTAGACCTCATGTACTGCAAATTGGCATAAAAGCGAAGAGTGATCCATTCTAGTTAATTTTATTTTAATCTCTCAAGTTGGCAGAATATAGAGTAATTTTATAGTGAGTACAGTGAACATTTCGATGAAAATATAAAATTTGTCCTTTTCTTATTCTATTGCATAGTCTATTTATTGCCGTGCATATACAACAAAAATCGAAAACGATAAGATCAAAGGACAGTAACTGAAAACAGTGCATTTTTATTTGCCTATGTACTCTAGACTCACCATTTAATGTAATTTCCGTTTTGTAACCTAGAAACCAACAGCGACTATACGTACTCAAAAAAGCTAGAACACTCGCCAAACATGATCTAAAACAGCTTTAAGGGGGATGCACCACCCCTTTATGTGCCTGACACCTTATTACATATATCTTTCAGTTTTTTCGATGAATTGATAACTATCCACAGAGGTATTAATTAATTAACTTTAAATTTTAATTAAAATTTCGATGGTATTGTAAAACAATTCATTATATTTTATTGAAATGTCGATCAATGTCACGGTAGAGTTATTTTGTCGATAATCTTTGGTTGTATATAATAAGCATTAAAAAGTTTGAAAAGTTTTCCTACAACACAGGTTTTTTAAGTGAAACATTGTAAAAAGAATGTGTTTTTTACTTTTAAGCATAACAAGTAATTTTTGAACAGCAGTTAAATGAAAATTAAACAATTTTTTATTTTAACATTTTTTAATCAATAACGTTTTTAAGTTTTTATCGTTAGAAAAGAAAAATTGTTCCGTTTATATAGAATTTCATAGGAAACAACTATTGTTCCAACAGTGTTTATGAACTATACTTTGCGTAGTCAGAATCTGTGGGAAGATTTTGGGGCGTGTATCCTTGCAATAACGGCTTCCAAAAGCCCCAGCAATTATTATCATAAGCAATAATTTTTAATTGTAACATGGTGGATAGATAGTCAAAAGTGGTCTGTATGATTCTGTGCAAGACTGACCTCTCTATCTGTTGTAGTTCGCGAATGGCGAACATTTACCGACGAAATGATAACGAATTACGGGTGACTCAAGAAAATGACTGCCATTGAAGAACTACAACAGATAGAGAAATCGGTCTTTCGCAGAATTGTAGAGAACACATTGGGCTATCTAGCCAAAACGTTATAATTAAAAATTCGCTGCAGGTTCAGAATTTAGCAAGCTCATCGCTTTACATCAGTCAGGTATATCACATGAAAAACCGAGATTTTTAGTACACAATATATATGAAAATAGAGTAAAGCTTTCTCCACAAAATATTGAAAATCCCAACTCTCTATCATTAGCGCAAAATCGACTTTTTATACGGGGAACAGAATCGGTCCAAATTTTTTTTCTGAAGAGCATATTATGTGAATCGACAGGCAGCAAAGTATCTCTTGATTCAAATCACTTTTCACATTTTGGCGCGAATAGTAGCGCGTTTTAAGTGGCGCC